TTTTTAATCCATTTTGTCAAAGGTGCCTTTTGATGGGTGAATTAAGTCCATTAACATTAAGTGTTAGTACTGATAGGTATGTGGTGATTCCTGCATTTAGTTGTCTTAGTTGTTTGAAGGTTTGATTGTGTGTACCTAACTTGATGTTACTCTCTACTGTCTTGCTTTTTCTTTCCTGTGGTTTGGTGCTGCCTGCCTTTTCATGGTTAAGTTGGGTTCACTTTCTGTGTGCAGAATCCCTTGCAGAATCTTTTGTAATGGTGGCTTTGTGGTCACATATTGTTTTAGTTTCTGCTTATCATGGAAGACTTTTATTGCTCCATCTATTTTGAATGATAGCTTTGCTGGGTAGAGTATCCTGGGGTTGAAGTTATTTTCATTCAGTGCCCGGAAGATCTCACCCCACGCTCTTCTTGCTTTTAATGTTTCTGTTGAGAAGTCTGCTGTGATTTTGATGGGTTTACCTTTGTATGTTACTTGTTTTTTCTCTCTTACAGCCTTCAATATTCTTTCCTTAGTTTCTGAACTTGTTGTTTTAATGATGATATGTCGTGGAGTAGTTCTATTTTGATCTGGTCTGTTTGGTGTCCTGGAGGCCTCTTGCATCTGTATGGGAATATCTTTCTCTAGATTTGGGAAATTTTCCGTTATTATTTTGTTGAATATATTACACATTCCCTTCGCTTGCACCTCTTCTCCTTCTTCGATGCCCATGATTCTCAAGTTTGGTCTTTTGATGGAGTCAGTGAGTTCTTGCATTTTCTTTTCACAGGTCTTGAGTTGTTTAATTAATAGTTCTTCAGTTTTTCCTTTAATTACCATTTCATCTTCAAGTTCTGAGATTCTGTCTTCTGTTTGTTCTATTCTGCTGGATTGGCCTTCCGTTTTGTTTTGCAGTTCTGTTTCGTTCTTTTTTCTGAGGTTTTCCATATCCTGGCAGTTTTTCTTCTTTATGTTGTCTATTTTTGTCCTGAGTTCATTTATCTCATTTATTCATTGTGTTTCTCTTTCACTTTGGTGTTTATACAGTGCTTCTATGGTTTCCTTTATTTCTTCTTTTGCTTTTTCAAATTCTCTATTTTTATTGTCTTGGAATTTCTTGAGTGTCTCCTGTACATTTTGGTTGACCCTATCCAGTATCATCTCTATAAAATTCTCATTGAGTACTTGTAGTATGTCTTCTTTTAAATTATTCTTGTGGGCTTCATTGGGTCCTTTGGCATAGTTTATCTTCATTTTGTTGGAGTCTGGATCTGAGTTTCTGTTTTTTCATTCCCTCTGGTTCCTGTACTAATTTTTTGCTGTGGGGAAACTGGTTTCCCTGTTTTTTTCTGTCTTCCCGTCATTGTCCTTGGTGTTGTTACTGTCCCTGTACTGTGTGCAATTAAGTATTTTCTAGCTTGTAATAATAACAATGGTAATTTAGAATGGAAGAGTGAGCTGAGATGGAAAGCAAGAAGTTAAAGAAAAGGGGAAAACAAATATACAGACAAGAGGGAGAAAGCAGAACAAGGTATCAGACAAGAGAGTTTCAAAGGTATAAACAGGGAGTGTTAGTGTACTAATCGACAGTAAGCTGAACAGACATTAGAGAGACAGAGAGAGGATTGAAAATCAAAGATAAAAAAAAAAAAAAAAATAAGTAAATGAAAGTAATATCTATATATAAAAATGAATTAAAATAAAATGGAAAATAGAAAATTAAAAAAAAAAAAAACCAAAAAACTTCCAAGTTTATATGCAATGCAGTTTCAGTCTTAATAATTTGGGTGTCCGTCTCAATCTCCAGTCCTGGAGTTGGTGCCTCAGATGTTGTTCTGTAGTTGTCTCATCAAAGGGATGCATAAAGTAGAACAAAACTACACACCACACACACACACACACACACACACAAAGCCCCACCAAGTGTCCCAGTTCAATGCATACAGTTTCAGTAAGTTTTCGCTTGCAGGTGTAATTCGGTTGTTCTCTCATCAAAGGTAGGGAGAAAAAGAAAAAAAAGCATCTGGAGACAGTTCTGAGAGTGGTATCTGCAACTGTGGCTTGCCTGCCTGCTGCTCTCAGCCTGTAGCTGGCGCATTATTTATGCAGATCTCTGGGTGAGCTTAGCACTCACCTGGTCCACAGGCTTTGTTTGCTCAGAGTTCTCCTGTGCGGGAGCCTCTGCTACAGGCTTTCCCCTTTCCAAGCACTGGGAAAGGTGACACTGCCCCGTGTTGTCAGGCCTGCGTGTTTATTTACAGTTCATGTGGGAGGTGGGTCTTCCCCCCTCTCCTCTGAAGTTTTCCTCCCACTGCCACTTTCAGAAAGCTTTCCTGCTCCTGCTTACTGGGCGGTGCTGCTGCTCCTGCCGGCCGCCATGTTTGTTTTACAGTTCACGTGGGAAGTGGGTCTTCCTCTCCTAGTTTCTCCTCCCACTCACAATCTTCCCCGTCCTGGTTGCTGGGCGACGCCCGCTCCGCCAGAGGCTCTCCGCCCGCCGCTTGTTTATTTACAGTCCCGGGAAGGATTCCCTTCCCCCAATCTTCAGCGCTCAGGGCGCCCCACCCTCTTTTCCAGCGTGTCTTAACTGTTCTATTGCTTATTACTCAGTTTCTCTTTTTTTCCCGGTGGAGGTCAGTCTGTCCAGGGGCTATGCTGCTCTGGCCCAGGCTTGTCTGTGGGGTACCGCGGTACCGCGAAGCTCACCTGGTCCCGTCTTCCCAAGCCTATGGCACCGGCCATGGCGGCCCCGGGGGCCCTCCTCGGTTTCTCCGTTTAACGTGAAGTGGAGATTCTCTGCCACCGGCTGGAGATGTGGAGGGGTCAAAGTTTATGCCTTTTCTCGTGATTATGCCTGCAAAAAGTGTGTCTCCAGTGTCTCTCCAAGATTTCACTATTAGGGAGGGTCGCTTTCTGCTTCGCTACCTCTAGCCGCCCATCTTGGATCCCCCTCTGTGGACCTTTCTGAGTGCCTCTTTCCTGACTTAATCCTTCAGTTTGTGTCCTGCCTGAATGGTAGTGAAGGGTTGTTTGTGGGGAGGTACAGCAACTTGCCACAAACATCTACACAACCAGGAAGAAATGCAATTTCAAACAAAATTCTTAAATAAGGACCAGATTCCCTTCAATTACTCAAGCAGGGTTTGTTTGCCATTTCTTTTAAAGGGGAAATGAATACCATCTTTTCAAACATGGAAGGAAGGAAGGGAAGGAAAGAAAAAGATAAAAAGAAAACAAAGGAAACATTCTTTTTCCTTTAAGGAGTGATATGGATGTGGAATGTAAATGTAGTACCCCCAGTATTAATGGTCTTTGGGAAAAAAATAGCAATTTTGTTGCTTGTAAGTGGGGTAATAATACCATTAAAAGCTTTGTCTCCTCTTCCAAGTGCTTTCTCTATACAAATTCTACTTTCTGTGCTGGGTGGTGGTAGGGAGTTGGTATATCTTCATAAACAGGAACCTGTTTCTGCAAAATCTTTTTCAACTCATCAGAAATTTCACCAGGGGTGAGACATTTCTTCCTTGCTATGAAAGTCCCCTGTGAAAACAAGTGACCTCAGTCTTTGGTGGTTGTCATAAGTCTTCTTCAATAGCAAAGTTATTGTCCAAAAGGTTACCAAATTATTTCTCTGAAGAATACTATATCCGTCTAAAAAAGGCTTGTAGAAAATCAATTACTCAGCTATGGATGTTAAATAAAATACCCCTGTCATAAGTATATGATAAATGTTGTGGCAGATTCAGAAAATTACTAACAATATGACCTTAGCTCTCGATATTTGGTGCTCAAATTGGGAGAAGACAAAGTTTAAAACACACACAGACAACAGCAAAATATATAAGCCATCCTAGTCCACATGAATATTGTAATCCCAGTGTTAAAAAAATCACAACAAGTCAGGACTAATCATTTGTAGAAGAAAAAGAAATAAGAATTGAACCACACATTGGTAGGAGTGTATGATTCTGGAAACCAGATCCAAGAAAGGAACGAGAAGCCTTCTTAGGGAATAGAATATGGTAAAATAAAGCAACGTAGCGCAGAGTATTACGCAAGTCAGGGTTAGGAGTTCAAGGAACAAAAAAGAAGAACTAGATAAGGCGTGTGTGTGTGTGGTGTGGTGTGTGTGGTGGGTGTGGTGTGTGTGTGTGTCCGCATAACCTACCTAGAAGGGCCAGAAACCAAGAAAGGGAGGCAACTGAAAACAAGTAGCCATAGAATATCTACAATTGAGGGATTAGAATGCTGCATATAATATAAGAATAGGTTTGGAAAGACAGGAGCTCCGATGGTTTTTTGCTATGATTTTTTTGGCATAAACTGGATTAATGCCAGAAGCAAAGTGAAAGCTGATAAGTATGTCAGAAGGAAGAATCAACATAAGGGGAGATCAAAAACAAAAGTCCTAGTGTCAGAGGCTTGGAAAAAGGAGCTATGAACACGGAGATTACTTGCAGTTGAAGGAGACCATTGGAAGTCTATGAGATGATAATGATTTCTGACTGCCACTGATTTGTAGAGATGGAGGGCTCTTGATTGGAACACCCTAGGACCATTACAGACATTGTAAACTAGCTCACATTAACTTTTAAGATTGAAGGTACAGACTTAGCATGGAGGAAGGAAAGAAGAACAAGAAAAAAAGAAAAACAAGATAAATCCTTGGTATTCCATATATTTACCAAGGGACAGAGATGTCACATATTTTTTGAGGGGAAAAGGGAGATTCTCTCTCTGTCTCTCTCTGTCTCTCTCTCTTTCACACACATGTACACACACACACACACACACACTATATATATATACAGGCACAAGTCAAGGAAGATGAGGACTAAGGCAAGACTTGGAAGATAAGAAGGCCACTAGTAACATTCCACAATGGTTGTTCCAGACCTGCTTATGGTGACTTTTCACCCTGTTGTAATAATACCTACTAAAGTTCATTTGAATTCCTTTAAGGTGATATTTCTTTGTTTCTATATGTTCATTTTTGTTTTCTGTTTAATTCTGTCTAGGAATTTATCTTATTTTGCTACACAAAGTAGCCCATCTGCTGTCATTTTGAACCTGTGGGAAGCTCGACATCAGCACGATGGTGACCTTGACTCTCTAGCCTGTGCCCTTGAAGAGATTGGGAGGACACATACAAAACTCTCAAACATTACGGAATCCCAGCTTGATGAAGCTGACTTCAACTACAGCAGGCAGAATGGACTCTAGTCTACTTCATCGATGAGGCAGAGTGAATGGCCGCTTTGGGACAAATTTGCTTTTAAATGGGAAAGAAAGAGGCAGCTTTTCTGCCCAGTGGCATTTGGGGAATTCAGCCTGTATTTATAATCAGTGAGATTCCCTGGTTGAAGAAACTGAATTTAATATAGGGAAAACATGTTAACAGGGAAAGGCATAAGCTCTCTTAGACACAAGGGGGCTCTACTGTCTCCTCTGAATCCAACAATGCAGGTTAAATTGGGGATGCATGCCTCAAACTTGGGAGTAGGAAGGGCACAAGCGAGGGCATAACTATATAGAGGATATGTATATGTGAAAAGAAGATGAGGCCTACAGGTAAAACTGGAAGACTGAAGAATTCGAATTTAAGTGGCATGTTTTTGAAAACAGGTTTTTAATGATGTGCCCCACAAGGGTCAATTGATTTCTGTACCGACTTGTCAGAGTTTTCTAACCAAATGGCACCTGGATGTCAGGAATCATTGTAAAAGTGGCTTTTAGAAATGAAACAGGGTTGCCAGCC